ACACACACACACACACACACACACACACACACACACACACACACACACACACACACACGAACGCACGGACGTACTCGATAACGCGCACGCGCGCACGCACTCACGCACGCACTCACGCACGCTTGAACGTACACATACGTTGTGTAATGTGTAATGTCCATGCAGGATCATCTACCTATGTTTTTGGTCTTCCTACTAGCATAGATGATATATAAGGTCGTGGATGTTCACTTCTGTGTGCTCCGTCGGTCAGCCAATACTCGATTAACTGCGATATAGTTATCAACCTCTTGTACCAGCATCCGAAGCCGTATACGTTATGAAGAAAAATGGTGCGGGCCGGGCGTGTTTATTTTCAATGGCAGTGTTTTCCACTGCGAACATCTGTTTATTCTTGACTATATAGATTAACTGACATACTGTATATACAGGAACCACTTCCCACTCTATACTCTTGCAGAAGGTCTGCGGAGAAAACCTACTCTGCACCTTCGTGCATTTATGCTGGTAGCGTAGCGGGCACTGTCAAAACGTGCTTCTCCAAATCTTCTTACGTCTGTAAAATGAACTCAACCCGTGACAGTATCTGAATTAGAATCAGTATGCGGTGCTGAAGACGTCTATTGATTTTTATCAGCTTTGTATCTTTCGTGAGCAATTGGTTATAATTTTACTTGTGAGTGTTGACAATATGCGGTTAAACTGTATGATTATATAGCGCTGTGTCCCCGCCTCCCGAACAACACTGATTATGGATCAATGGATGTAGATCATGGATCATGGATTTTCTATAGCAGACAGTATGTACAGCATTCGGCCTTATAGAACTTTGACGTAGTTTCTTTCCGCTTATAAGCTGCTTATGTGTTTTCCTAAAAACCAATATCATTCGTAGTGCTACGCATGGTGGGCTAAAGAGCACTCCGTAGACCTCCGCAGTAAAACCTCAATATTAGATTGAATTCTGCCGAATACGTACGTGTTTGTAAAATCTACTCGCGGAAATTGTGATTTACCGTTACTTTATATTCCACGGTATATAACTCGTGGCTCGTACTCGCGCTCAACCACTGCAATTTAGTTGTCGAGAACGCGCGCTAGCGTTTCTAAAATCGCGTATTCCACATTTGTATTCGGCAAATGTTCGCCCTCATATTCATCTGTCTTTATCGTATATTATTACGTTGGAAATGTGTTCCGCAACTTCCACAACTTCCGCAATTTGTTATAATCGGCCTTAGCAGGCTGACCACTCTCACCGGAGTGCTGTTCCTTATCGCTAATTATAAATGTATAGATTATATGCTGAGCGGTCAGTATGGAGGCTGAGCAGGTGACTGATTATATTTGCTGCCGCTGTGGTGCGACAGACGGTATAATATACGACAACGTATACACACACACACACACACACACACACACACACGACACACACGACACACACACACACACACACACACACACACACACACACACACACACACACACACACACACACACACACACACACACACACACACACACACATACATACACATACATACACACACTCGCGCGCGCACGCGCGCACGCACGCACGCACGCACGCACGCAAGCACGTACGTACGTACGTGCGTGCGTATGTATGTGTGTATGTTTGTTCGAGATGTACATTGCCATCAAATAAAACTAATTTCGCTGAACAATATGAGCTCTACGTTTATATGTTTTTTATACGTTTTGCCGTAAACAGATTTCATCTTTAAATAAGATGCTCACGTTAGCAGTGCTATATGCACTGAACTCGATAATGTTAACGTAATAAAGAGCACCTTAATCTTCATCTACATGGTTAGATAATGAATGAAAGATTGCTCCACACTACGTCCCACGTTCTCCTCTTCGGTGAATTCATTCATCCGAGATGCTTGCTTATTGTCTCTCGCGTCAAACTCAGTCAGTAACCGATTCCGATTAACCGGCGCATACTCACCGTGCACTTCCTGAAGACAAATACGACACCGAGTGATGTCAAGCGTCTCGAATGTCTTTGTTGGTGCAACATCGGTGTGTTTACTCTGCGAGCAGAGTAAACAATAAGTACACAATCGTCACCGTGATTCGTCGCAGCAGGGGATGCGACCAAGCTTTCCAGCACCCGTTGATAAACACTTTTGCATTCTACTCGGTACAGGAAAATAGAGCTAACTATAGATAAGGAGCACTTGGGATACTAAGCACATAGTATATGAAGTACCCATTCGCAGCATCACGTCACTTGATAAATAGACGAAATGGAATGGTAGACATTCTCGAGGTCATTGGTGGGCTACTGATAGAGTTGTAGAGAGAATAAGAAAGAGAAAGCGGGAGAGAGAGAGAGAGGGAGATGGGAGGGAGGGAGAGCGGGGGAGAGAATGTATGATATCGATGATGTAATGTTATCACACTTCATTAAACATGATGTCAATAATTCGCGTAGATATTGCCTTCCTTTAACCGAGCCATGAATCGAGTAAGATGTTCGCGCATGTCTAAGAAATAAGAATTAACACTCTAGTGACAAATATCAAATAAACTTTCACAAGTTATACGACTTAATTTTGTGTTGACAAATGTATCGCGTACCCCACCAGAAGAATTTAACCTATGATTAAAGAAATTCTATTTGACCCTAGTGAGACTGTAGTGACAAATATCATATAAACTTTCACAAGTTACGACTTGTCTTTGTATTGACAAATGTATCGCGTACCCCACCAGAAGAATTCAAATCGTTCAAGGAAATTTTATTTTACAGGTGTGAAATCAGACCAGGCCCGGAGTTCGTCATTAGAGACTACACGCTCTTCAAAAATTCGACTTTCGTCGCGCTACAGTACATGTACGCGGACAGTGCCTGCAGTGCGCCAAGTTACGTAATTATATCCAAGGGAGAGTACAGCTTCGCGCAGGCGTCCTGGATCGTTCCCGGAGGAACAGAGGTCGACTATATCCTACAGCAGGTGTTCATTATGGGATATACGGACAAGAGCGCCGAGCTTCTCTACCGCAACATCAACCGCACCTGCGCGGGCATCGGCAAAACAAAATGGCTGCCGGGTCATCTGTACGAGATCTTCACGTTCATGGAGGTGCCGCGACAGCGAGGCAACAATGTTGATCTGATGTTTCTCGATAAAGACTGCACGACGGCGATCAACTTCGCTTTACACGAACTGCAGCTGATGAGGGTGGAGGAGTGGACGTCGCGCGATTCGAAAGTACTCACTAGAAAAGAGCTCTTTCTAGGCGACGTACATACGGATATGGGACTCCGGAAGTCGTATCGTCCGACTGGCTACCAGGTGTCACTGCGCTCGGCGGAAGTGAGTATTTTATCCATTACTTACAGTCAGGTCATGTGAAACGTTGGCTTGCATCTAAACTGTTGCAATATATTATCGGGGAAACTGGTCCTGATGTCATTTACCGATGGCATTCGGCCTACCCGCATGCGCATTCCGTCCACGTACAGAATTTTTATAACACATTATGCGACAACAGATGCAGACTGTTCACTCCTGTGGGATTTCGTCGTAATGGGTTTGCTGTAATGGTTTGCCATTATGCATCACCTCTCAAAGATATCGCCGCCCTAATATTACTTTCACGCTATAAAATTAATACGCGCAGTAAAAGTGTTTGAATAGGTCGCAGAAGGCGTCAACCCTGTACAGCCTGGGTGGTCATACTGCAAGCTGAACGCTTCAATTGTATATCACAAGTAATAAAGAACTAATTTAACGTCCTCGGAGATTAGCCAAGAAAATTTACCACGCTTTACAAAATACTGCATATTTAATAGCATAAAAGCCCTAGGTTCTCATAATGGTATACCGAAGTTGCCAAACCAGGTTATAAACTCGACACAAATGGCATTCTAGTGCATTCATTCTTGGTCCCCGCGCAATGGTCACATGCGAAAACGCTTACATTTGAAATAATATTTCGGCCTGCGTTTGTGAATGACTTCATTCCGAACAAATTGGCTTACACGATACAACTGCGCGAACCGAGGTCGCCCGCAGAGCGCACGTAGAAAGAGGCTTTCATGCGAGCATATAGACTCGGAATAGGTGTTAGGGCTTACAATCGCGAAAGTGCGATGGCGCTTAGCGAGGCTTACCTGAACACCCGGCAGCAGCCTAGGTAATTACTGCGTGCAAAAAAAACCCACACTATTCAACGTTATGTATGTACTAAACGTAGCTATAACTGAAGGACGGCGCTATAGAACTAATAGCATAGACGTATAATACTAACAGCACGACTACAAGGCACGGTGCAGCTACAGCCGCTGTATGCTCATGTGGAAATGCGTATACATACAGGATACATGCAAGTGCGCATGTGCGATTTGCTGGTATGAATCTATGCATGCTTCATATTCCAAGTATTAATGAGAGAATGACTTTCTTTGACATACCCTGTTGATGGAAATTCTATAGAGTAGAAAACATTCACTAAATTCTTGCGAAGCTTTTCAAACCATCGTTTGAACAGTTACTGAATATAGTTTTTCATTATTTTAAACAATGGATGCTTGATAATGGTAAGAGAAAACAAGGAGTAAGTAATCCAACGAGATTTTTCGTTTCTGTATACGTTGATTCGCCTCTTCGATTCAGTAGAGCGGATGCACATAGGCTACGTATGCCGCTATGCGTGGTATACACGTTTTGCAATATGAAAACTGTAAACTGCAAGAATTCTAGCAATAGTGCAGGTAAACGTATTGCTTACTGCGTTTCTTTAATACAGTAAAGAAAACGTCAAGAGCTAATAATACTGCTATAATAGGTATTGTTAGCTCTTGAAAACGTGCCTATCGCCTATAGTGGCGTATATGTTTGTGCTTCCATAGGCGTCTAAAAAGAAAATGGACTGTAAATAGAGAAGTTTATATAATATATATATATATATATATATATATATATATTATATATATATATATATATATATATATATATATATATTATATAAATATATAATTATAAGATAATATCTATTGAGAATATTGTATTGCTATAGTATATTATACATATATTATATTGTTATATATAGTATTGTCGTTACTACGCGAGCCTGATTTTGAACATAGCACCCAACTCGAAATTCACTCGAATTAATTCATTTCTATTCCCTCGTATACTTGCTATACTTAACGACTTATTGCCTTCTCGAATTAATTACTCCTCGGCTCTCCTTATATAGCCGCCCTAGCACCGCTACTCCCATTACTTCATGATTCTGCATAGAGAGGTCATAGTAAACAATTAAGTTCTAGTACCTTACCTACAATATATACACATGTACACTATAGTTCAACATTTAAATTAATTTTGCGCCATAATTTGTCGCTATTTTTTGGTTGGAAATGTCATCTTGTATTGAATTATAGGAGAATGACGGTCTATACTTACGACATAAGTACAGCCCCGTTTAATAGGGCAGTAAAGTTTTACTCGAAACAATAAATCACTAACGAGTGTCAGGTCTCACATGCGGCTAGCCATCTGCTAGCGATTTCATAGACTTCATAAATGTTTGTGGTTTTGATTGAATGCGTTAGGCTACGGGCACGTCTCCCGGTGCCGAGTCTTTGCTGCGAGAGGCAAACGTAAACGAATGGACGTCTCCGCGAGATTGATGTTCGTTCAATTAAGTCGTTTCAATGGCATATTTCTCCCCGCCACGAGATGCGATAGCAAATATCCTCTGACAGATCCCCCACTCGGGCGCGCTGCATGTGTTCAAACGGGCCGACGATCGCGAGATCGACATCGGTTGGTTGCCCCTATCGCTCTCTGCATCGCAAGTCTCGGTACTTTGACGAGAGTTTTTTTTACTGACTGATACCGAAACCAGATCCACTTTATTGATCTTCGTAAAGCAGCTGTTGGCTGCGTCATCTGGAAGAGGTGCAAGCTCGTTTATAGGCATGCCATTCGGCTAACTCATGATAAATCTTCGACCACATAATTTTTCCAACGCATACAGAAATATTCGAATGTGACAAATATTGTGGCAACCGCTAACGCGTGTGAAGCTCGCATATTGTGTACGGAGCTTCGCATGTATTTAAGGGCCAAATGCATAAAGGAAATAATGAAGAAAGAACTCAAGGACGAATTAAACTTGCGAAGAATATGAAGTCATATACCAGCACTAGTAATTCTCATAGCATGAACTCTTAAATTGGTCAAACAAGCTCGCAGTAGTACCAGGCCAATAATTTGCAAGGCAGAAACCGTAAAACGATAAAGTAAACATAATTTATAATAACAAATTACGATAAATACACAACATATATAATACCAAGAGCGGATAATACCGCTCTTGATAATACTATTAACAACGTTCTGTATACGCGCAACGTATTAAGTGTAACTCGAATAAGCAAACACCACAATGTACATGAGAGCCGAATGCCGTCTATTTCTGAATATAAACCAGATGCCGGCGCATGTCGTCTGCGAGAATCGGAATGCGCGGCTGGTTAGAGACGGCTTCGCTGCGGCGCACTATCATCGCGTAAATAATGCGGCACTTAATTGGTGAGAGGCGCGTGTACGAACACGGACACCGTGCAAGGTGACGACGACGCACGCGCGACAGGTTTGGAAGCGCGCGCCGACGCCACGCATTGATGACGCCGCCGCTAGTCACGGCGCACATGTCGGCTGCATGCGCACAGAGGCAGAAGCGTGTGTATGTGTCCGCGGCTGCTGTTACTGCCGAAAGGTTCGGAAACCGAGCGCGGGTTAGGTTGGTGCGGTAACACGCGCCCGCTCAGTCTGCACATGCAGACGTTCGGCACTCGGCACTATACGCATATTGCGCTATATATATATATATATATATATATATATTTATATATTTATATAGGCCTACCATTAATGCCGCGTGTAATACAATTCGCAGATGATGCTAAATGATAATAAACAGCAATGTTTGATTTAATAAGACAGACGCGCCAAGTCAAGGTCATCGACAACGTTGTTGTTAATCACATAATCAGATATAGCTATATAAATTACATATAATAGAAAGCTATATAGCAATCCCCCTAGAATGTTTTACGTAGAAATTTGCCCGTTAGGAAATTTGCTCTAACCCGTATCAAGTTTTAGACCCCTTACATTAACGAAGATTTATCTGTTGTGTGCAAAGACTTTCATGATCGTTATATTATACCGTCTTGCCAAGTGGCCGATGATGTCGAAAGTATCTTACTTATTATCTCGCATTTGAAGCTCCTGTTCTTCTTATAAGTCACCTAATCAGGTATGCCGGATTTCTACGTCCAGTGCGCGATAGCGGCGGCAGTGGCAAGCTTAATACCCTGTCCGAATTTAATAAACGCCAACCATTTTGAGAAAAAACAAGCACCTACCTACATTCACACACAAGCGCGTGCAATCCTAGATTCACCCCACTCCCTGTCGCCAAACCTGTCTATTAGAATTGACTAGTAGTTAGTCTGAAACTACTTCTAATCCTTTAATCATCGAAAACACGAACGACTGCGACACCCGCTGGACCATCGCCATGTTGTAGTTATCCTCTAAGTACTCTATAAGTGAATGGATTGAAACCAGCGCAATTTAGAGCTGCAATCCAGAACTGCCTAGCGCAATCCTTTTTTCATCTATAATCATCGCAGGGCACCGACGACTGCGACACCTGCCGGATGATCGCCACATAATAGTTAGCTTGAAAGTATTAAAAACATGGACGACTGAAACTAACGCAATCATTATTTTTGCCAGTCATCGCTTTTCTAACCTTCACCCTTTCATCATCGCAGGACAGCGACGACAGCGACGCCTGCCGGACAATCGCAAAGAGCGACGTCATGCATCCGCCGGTGCTGGTCGCCGCGCCGGTGCTCTCCGTACAGTTAGAGGGCACGTGGGTGAGCGGCATGTGCGAGACACAGCCGCATGGCATGTTCGTCATGCGCCGGATGACGTTCGTGCGCGACGGCAGCACGTGGCGCGCGCGCTACCACTTCTACGCCGACGCCGACTGCCGCCGACAGAGCTACAGCGTCGCCGCCGCCGGCAGCTACGCGTTCCGCGCCGCGTCGCGCGCCATCCGCGGCGGGGAGCGCTACGACCTGCTCGTTGCCGACGTGAAGGTGACGCCGCACGACGCGACGGCCGTCGTCAACATGAACGGCGAGGTCGGCGACGACTGCGCGACGGACGGCTCGTGGCGACTCGACGTCGAGCAGGACGTGACGAGCACGCGAGGGTGTGCCACCCTCGGCATCGCCGTGCCGCACGTGCAGGCCGACCTCGTGCGCCTGCTGCCCGACGACGCCGGCGGCACGCGATTGTACGTCGGCCGGCAGCCGAGCGACGGACGCTTCCGGCCGACGTACAGGCCGACGTCGTTCCAGCTGCCGCTCGTGCAGTGCAAGGAGACGCCGCAGACGACGAGGTGGAGTGGGAAGCGTACGTCGGATGGTGTCGGCTCGACGTCAGCCGACCATGGGCTGGTCGCCATCAGTGCGCTGCTCACTTGTTACGTGTTGTTGGCGACGCACGCGACGTTGCGCGCCGCCCTGACGTGATCGTCAGTTTAGAGTGAGTTCTATGGATCACGCAGCGATGCTGCATCAGAATTATATTTAAGATGAAACATGTAAATATGTTAATATGTACGATAAAATCACGAATAGACGAAACATGCAGCTAAATTACAGTTATCTATTAAATCAGTCACTATGTGGTGTAAGAACATTACGTGGTATAATATGGCAATCGTGTATCGTGCATTGTGTCAAAATCTCAAAAACCGAAAAATATCGAAAACTCTCAGGAACCTCATCCTCCAAGTTCTTGACCATGCGTAGGGGTTAATTGGCTGCGCCAACCGTCGAGGTGGCCAGGAGCAGTTATCACGAGTGGCAGTCACAGTTCCATGCAGGAATATATCCACTCAGTTCGACATTATAGCTAGAGCTTAGTGTAATATTCTAGGAAGATAATCATCGTAGATGGTGATGTATCATACTATCATAACAAACAATTAGTGTGTCAGAAGTAACCGCATAATTAGCTGTTCAAATGCATGCCAAATGTCTCATATAACCAAGGATAAGGACAGAAAGGGCAGATGGATTCAACAAACGATGATATTTCCTTTTACAAAATGCGAACACAACAATCAACCGCTTCAGTACCTACTTAACAATGAATCAGGGTTCGTTTTGCTGTTTGAGTTTGATCTTTTTTGCATATCTTTGTCCGATAACTCTTCATGGGCAATATTACAACTAACTGCGTATAATCAAGGTATAATAATATGTGTGCCACCAAGGAGCAAGGTGGACAGCTAGTGGTTAATAGATTTAGTTCTGGAACCATCGGCATGGGGTTTCCAGTGTACGCTGCATTTTCTGAAATGCATATCACCTTTCAGTAACAAATGATGTCAACACTAGATATAGCGCGATGTTAGTTAACGCTATAAAAAAATATTCGTAGATTAATTTTGTAAATAAACTGTCATATACAACAGTTCTTTGTTATCCGATTTATCTGCATGTACGTTGATGTATGACGACCCTATAAAAATGCCTACATCTTTTCGGTATGTAATATATGCGTCTGATGTCTTGAATTATATAACATTGGTTAGCTAAATAGTCTAAACCTTACATGTGGATTTTTTATTCTTTATTCATTACCCGTGAATTGTGTGTTACGGTTCTATAGCTAATGGGAAGGAAATCGTAAATATGTTCAGCATATTCTCAATTGATGTAATTAACTATATAATTATGATGCTCAGATAGATATTCACTCTCGACTTGGATTTGATTGTTGTGTACTTTCTTAAAAAGCCCTATTAATTATACTAAATTGCTTGGTCTTTAATTCAGTTAGTTTCGTTTGTGATATATGCATAATAATCGTATAGTATTACGTAGAATATTCCGGCTATAGCGTCATTTAAATATCGTACATTACGTAGGCCTATCGTATAACATCTAAACATTTATCAGTATTAGTGACACATTTTAGCATTACTAATGATAAGCCTAGGCATACATGCACCCGTTGCTTATATCACGTCGTGGAGGATATATTAGGACAAACCTGGCAACAGATGACAATAAAATGAAGATGATATTATAACGCACGTGCGCTGTCGATTGCTGCTCGCAAACAGCTATACGTTATGATAAATGTTATTTCCTCGTTCGTACTACGCGCATTCAACGCGGTAAAGGAAACTGCCGTGAGAATTAATTTTGTCTCTGTTAAACTTGGTTAAACAAAGGTTTCGTATTATTGCCATTAAACTATTACGGCATAATGCATTTCAAACGGTCAAGTGGTGATTTATATTTTTGTTGAGGAATTATACAGTAAGGTTTTCATTTATGTCGTTTATGTGAAACTGTATATCGATAAATTGGGTCTTGTTGAGATAAATTGAATTCGTTATATATATATATACTAAGCCTATGCGAAAATGATATTTGTTAAGATGCTTTTTTGGTCAAATATAATTCATTATATATATGTACGTTTTAACTTGTGAGATTAGAATGATAAGGTGCAAACCTTACAGTGAACTAGTTGGTAAATTCGTCGTGTTTGAAAATAAAAAAGTCTCCATATGTTGTGTCATGTGTTATGTTCTGATACTTCTCGGAATCCACTCACTGAATATAGTTACCAAACCAGCATGTGCATACTAAATAATGATGAGTTAGGTGCAGCAGTGTTCCTTCCCAAGCAGTTGGGGGGGGGGGCGAAGCCGTGAATTGAAATTATCAGTGCTCACTGCTTCCACGGTCACCTCGCCGGATATGGTGACATGGTAGTTCGCGATCAGGGAGTTAACCCCAAAACAAGCAAACAGGTGCGTAATAAACTAATAACTAAAGTTAGGTTGTGCAATGTACCTTCCGACACGCAGCTCGCAAGTACGCGAAGCTGTGAGTTTAAAGACCCAATGTTCGTTGCTTCCACCCCCACGTGTTAGCTGTTTCAGATTGGAATCACTCTGATAAAGAAAGACGATGATGTAAGCCTACGTTGTTGTTGTAGTGCAGCTAGGTGCCGAAATTTATAACGATTCTTTGGCCTGACCACCAGTGCTGGACGCTCCCGGGGGTCAGATATCCTTCTGTCGGAATTAATGGAACATGCTTTACAACCTTGTACATCATGATGCTTGAGTTCAGCTTTCTACGGTATACTAATGGTTGCCACCCAAGTTGTTCCTTAAGCGCTGGCGTGCTGTTGTATCGCCTGTGGGTGTTGGTAACGAATCTTGCAGCCCTGTTTTTGTACGATCTCTGGGTTTTTTTTTTTTTTCTTGATTTGGATTCTAAACTGAGCCCAGTCACCACGCTCATCACGATCGCCCCGTCCTCAAAAAATTTGCCCGAGCGTGGTGAGCGTGGTTGAGAGCGTGGCCAATTGGGCCCCAGCCGGGCCCAGCGCCGATACTACGATCTAATTACGTCCATACTACGATCTAAGTGCGTCTTTACCCCGATCTCATTGCGCTCAACCCAGGAGATACGGCTTTCTTGACAGCATATGTTTGTTACGTGCCCGTCGCTTACGATATTCCTCGCTCTTTGCTGATGCCGCAGCTGGCAAAACAGTAATTGTCCTCGTGGATTACAATGCATCCGTATATATAAGAGTAGATGCTTGTTGGTATGATAGAACAAGAGCCGCAGAGCGGCTGAGCTCATCTGGGGTCTGTTGCTGACGGTTATAAACTTCAGTCGTGCGAGTACACATTGTTAGCCGCAGATTGCAGAGTACGTGCATGCGTACACGATCATTGGTTAGGACACGCTCACTATCTCCCCCCATTTGCGATTCTGAGTTATTTATTAAATGATATGCCTTTCGACTGTCGATTGTGTCATTAGATTCACTACTATCGTATTTTTTACTATCTATAAAAGGATTAACATATGAGCATGGATCTCCAGTTTAATTAGAGGGGCGGGGAGTCTTCTCTCCCACTCCCTCGCCACTCGTCCCACCTCCCCCCCACTGCCGTCCCCACCTCCCCCCCGCTGCCTCCCACTCACCTCTCTTCGCCTCTCACCTTCCGCCTCTACCTCCCATCTCCCTCCCCCTACTTCGGACTCTCCCTCCCCTCTGCCTCCCACCTCCATCCCCTGGCACAACATCCGCCGACCTAATTGTAACCCGCGCGTTCCCGCCGGTCGATACACACGCGTATGCACCGCTTTTCCCGCCCGTCAGTCTCAATTTACCTACACTGCTCTCCTCTCTGTATTCTGAGAACTTTCTCTCTCTCTCTCTAGTATTCTATTAAAAAAGATTAAAAGCCCCCAGCGATGATGGCCTGTTTTACTGCCCCTAATAAAGTGCCTTTCTTCCTATGCCCTGAGTGTAACAGTCATAGAAATGCATGAATATTTACTGTCTTCTAATATTTCTATGGTAACAGCTTATGTTCGCCCACAACTGGTAAATGGTATACGCGACGGCCATAGCTACATGATAATATGTTAGAGATTCAAGATGATAAAGTAAAATATTATTATTTAAATGTTACTTGATTATTATTTATTCGTTTAACAACAGTTACAGGAGAATAATAATCTAATTTAAACAGGCCGTATAGTCTGGCCGCCGAGATGCGGCTGTGCAAGTGTAATCAATAATCAAAGATGCCATCGTTCCTGAAATGACAGTGAGGCGTAGCAGGTAAATCACCAAGTAAGTAATTCAGCAGTTGCTCAGCTGTGAGTTAACAGGTGCATTGCAGGTGGCAGGCCAGCAATCTATGGATAAGTAAGCGTGCCAGCCAGTGGGCTTGCTGTGTTTTTCGCCTCGTGAAGCATCTCAACTTTTGATTCATCATTGCAGCCTTCAGTCTAATGGCAGGGTGCTATAGTACGAGACTGCTTTAGAAATTCAATGATTTAAGGAGCGTTAGAAGCCTTGTTCAACAAACATATTTGCCTTTGCAATTACAGACGTGTGCAACTGTAGCCTCACATTGACACAGCGTATGGGCTCTAATAATTATGCAATGAACAGCAGTTCAGCTCCTTTGGTTGACACGTGGAACGAAATCCATGGTTAAGCCCCCTCCTTTGAGGGTCAAAAGGTTTATCCGACACTTACTCTCGCCATGTCGAGCAGAAGGTGACATTTTCATGGGTCCTTTCATAAAGCATAATAAATGCTAGCGTCACCCTGAAAACAAAAAGTTTTTCAAATCGCTCCGTCAGACCACTTCGCTCAGAAAAAATGTCTACAAATCTGCCTGTGCCCACTTGACTTTGACCTGTGACCTCCACATTTCGCAGCAGTGATGGCTATTTCCTACAATGATTGCTATTACACCGACTATCACGAGCCTTAGTCAGAGCCGTTGAGATTTGTGCCGCAATTCCGTGGCATCTTTCCTCCCTATACCTTATGTTAAGGAGTGAATTCCCTTCTTTTCAGCTCTTGACCTTTGAACACTTTGACCCCAGCCCTTCGACAATCCAGCTCGTTTTTGACGATTCCCCCGGCAACGACGCCGATATATCCGTGACGCGTTCAGCGTCAAGCGTTAAGCATTTGTGCCAACTGTTGACGACCGACCTGATGCCGGGACCGACGACCGGC